CTGGAGTTTATCTGGAGAGAGTTCCGGGGGTCAACGCCCCCGCGGCCCGGTCTGTGACCAGGCCTCCTTAGGTCAGTGTCCCAGGATGCGACCCACACCAGTCGACTAACACCCAGGTACCCATTTTACTGATGGGGAACATAGACAACAGGTGGAAAGAAACACGTCCAATGTTTCTACTCTGGCTGGGAATCGAACCCAGACCCTCACCGTGTGAAGCGAGAGCGTTAACCACCAGGCCACCAGAGCCCTGTATTGCATACAAAAAAAAAATTATTTGTTTCCCATGTACATCAAGAAAGATGTGGGTATGTAACTGTTTAAACCAGTGTGTTCCCTTATCTTCACTGACATCTTCCCCCTCCCCCGTGGCGTGGGAGAGGAGGCACTGACTGGTCCCTCCCCCGTGGCGTGGGAGAGGAGGCACTGACTGGTCCCTCCCCCGTGGCGTGGGAGAGGAGGCACTGACTGGTCCCTCCCCCGTGGCGTGGGAGAGGAGGCACTGACTGGTCCCTCCCCCGTGGCGTGGGAGAGGAAGCACTGACTGGTCCCTCCCCCGTGGCGTGGGAGAGGAGGCACTGACTGGTCCTTCCCCCGTGGCGTGGGAGAGGAGGCACTGACTGGTCCCTCCCCCGTGGCGTGGGAGAGGAGGCACTGACTGGTCCCTCCCCCGTGGCGTGGGAGAGGAAGCACTGACTGGTCCCTCCCCCGTTACTCTCAACAACACATGCTTCCCACACCATATGCCTCTATTCCATACATCGACACGTATTCATTTTTAAGTTAACTGGAAGCATGGCGCCTGTGCTGGAGGTAGATGTGTTTATGGGTTTCTTAGTTTAACATACATAAACCTACAATAGCGTTGAATTACCCGTCAATAACAAAATTATAAAGGCAGACGAACTGCGTATTGTAAGATTTCGAGTATACATTGTCTCACCATCGATAAACAAACTAAGCTGAAGAATACATTGGTCGGTACAGAGACCTGGAAAGCTGCTTGCGGACCTATACTTCCTGGATCTGTATAACAGATTACAAATGTAGATAAATGGTACAGAGAACCGATAAGTTGATAAATAAGACATACGTGCAATATTTGGGTATCTTTATTGTGGAAACGTTTCGTCATACAGTGGCTTCATCAGTCCAGTACAAAGAGTGGTGAAGATCCGAAGGAGTTTGAGGAAATCAGTCCCTCAGCCTGGTGTCGATGTAATGACTAATGGACTAATTGCGTCGACTCCAGGCTCAGGGACTGACTACCTTAAACTCCTTCTGATCTTCACCATTCTTCCGTGTATAGGACTGATGAAGCCACTGTATGACGAAACATTTCCACAATAAAAAATACCCGAATATTGCACATGTCTAATTTATGAAAGTGACCTCGTCCAAAGAAACCCTACAGGAAGTGACACTTTACTTCGCTCTTAATGATACGATAATTAAAACCTTAAGAATGTGTCTACGTGTTGCACCAGCTAGATGAATTACATGTTATTTGATGAGACTGTAACTTTGTTTAGGACCACTGTTTCTAGTGGAAATGGTGAGATACCTGAATTTCCTTAATGAACAGCAGGTCCTGTGCTGTACCACTGGTCTGTGAGGCTTATAATAGGAAGATTTCAAAGACAGCTCTTCTGGGACATGTCTGCACCAGCAGCAGCATCTGTGACATGTTTGCACCAGCAGCAGCATCTGTGACATGTCTGCAACAGCAGCATCACCTGTGACATGTCTGCACCAGCAGCATCACCTGTGACATGTCTGCACCAGCAGCATCACCTGTGACATGTCTGCACCAGCAGCATCATCTGTGACATGTTTGCACCAGCAGCAGCATCTGTGACATGTCTGCACCAGAAGCATCACCTGTGACATGTCTGCACCAGCAGCATCACCTGCGACATGTCTGCACCAGCAGCATCACCTGCGACATGTCTGCACCAGCAGCATCACCTGTGACATGTCTGCACCAGCAGCATCACCTGTGACATGTCTGCACCAGCAGCATCACCTGTGACATGTCTGCACCAGCAGCATCACCTGTGACATGTCTGCACCAGCAGCATCACCTGTGACATGTCTGCACCAGCAGGATCACCTGTGACATGTCTGCACCAGCAGCATCACCTGTGACATGTATGCACCAGCAGCATCACCTGTGATATATCTGCACCAGCAGCATCACCTGTGACATGTCTGCACCAGCAGCATCACCTGTGACATGTCTGCACCAGCAGCAGCATCTGTGACTTCAGCGTCTCTTCCCAGACACCCGGAAGCTTTCGTAATACGTCTATTCTCACATAAGTCCATTTCTGTTTATTCGTTGACTATCACTCACAGTGACTTATCTTCAGTTTGTAAAGTATATGGCTGTGATGGGTATGAGAATGGATGTACCATGAAAGACTCTGTAGGTGTATCAAGAGGCAGTCGGGTCACAAATGGTTAGGTTGACGTAAACATGACACAACTGATGGTTGTGTGACATTTTCCAAGTGTGTGTACTCACCTAATTGTGATTGCAGGGGTAGAGTCATAGCTCTTAGCCCCGCCTCTTCACTGGTCGCTACTAGATCTTCTTTCTAACTGCTCCATGAACTTAATCATACCTTTTCTTAAGGCTATGTATGGATCCTGCCTCCACTGTATATGCGAGTGTGTGTGTGTGTGTGTGTGTGTGTGTGTGTGTGTGTGTGTGTGTGTGTGTGTGTGTGTGTATGTGTGTGTGTATTCAGCTATTTGTGCTTACCTATTTAGGATTGTAGGTGTCGATTCATAACTCCTGGTAGCTACTAGGTCCACACTCTCCCTGCTCCATGAGCTTTATCGTATCTCTTCTTGAAGCTATAAAGCCATGTATAGATCCTGCCTCCACTACATCACTGTCCAGATTGTTCAACTTCCTGACAGATCTATGGCTGCAGAAATACTTCCTAACATCCCTGTGACTCATCTGAGATTTCAACTTCCAGTTGTGTCCTCTTGTTGCTGTGTCCCGTCTCTGAAACATTCTGTTCCTATACACCCTGTCACTTCCTCTGTGTTTTATATGTCATTATCCTGTCCTTTCCATATCTTCTGTCCTTCAGTGTCGTCAGTTGTAGAGTGTTGTTCAGTGTCGTCAGTTGTAGAGTGTTGTTCAGTGTCGTCAGTTGTAGAGTGTTGTTCAGTGTCGTCAGTTGTAGAGTGTTGTTCAGTGTCGTCAGTTGTAGAGTGTTGTTCAGTGTTGTCAGTTGTAGAGTGTTGTTCAGTGTTGTCAGTTGTAGAGTGTTGTTCAGTGTTGTCAGTTGTAGAGTGTTGTTCAGTGTTGTCAGTTGTAGAGTGTTGTTCAGTGTCGTCAGTTGTAGAGTGTTGTTCAGTGTCGTCAGTTGTAGAGTGTTGTTCAGTGTCGTCAGTTGTAGAGTGTTGTTCAGTGTCGTCAGTTGTAGAGTGTTGTTCAGTGTCGTCAGTTGTAGAGTGTTGTTCAGTGTTGTCAGTTGTAGAGTGTTGTTCAGTGTCGTCAGTTGTAGAGTGTTGTTCAGTGTTGTCAGTTGTAGAGTGTTGTTCAGTGTCGTCAGTTGTAGAGTGTTGTTCAGTGTTGTCAGTTGTAGAGTGTTGTTCAGTGTTGTCAGTTGTAGAGTGTTGTTCAGTGTTGTCAGTTGTAGAGTGTTGTTCAGTGTCGTCAGTTGTAGAGTGTTGTTCAGTGTTGTCAGTTGTAGAGTGTTGTTCAGTGTCGTCAGTTGTAGAGTGTTGTTCAGTGTCGTCAGTTGTAGAGTGTTGTTCAGTGTCGTCAGTTGTAGAGTGTTGTTCAGTGTTGTCAGTTGTAGAGTGTTGTTCAGTGTTGTCAGTTGTAGAGTGTTGTTCAGTGTCGTCAGTTGTAGAGTGTTGTTCAGTGTCGTCAGTTGTAGAGTGTTGTTCAGTGTCGTCAGTTGTAGAGTGTTGTTCAGTGTCGTCAGTTGTAGAGTGTTGTTCAGTGTTGTCAGTTGTAGAGTGTTGTTCAGTGTTGTCAGTTGTAGAGTGTTGTTCAGTGTCGTCAGTTGTAGAGTGTTGTTCAGTGTCGTCAGTTGTAGAGTGTTGTTCAGTGTTGTCAGTTGTAGAGTGTTGTTCAGTGTTGTCAGTTGTAGAGGTCTGAGCTTTGCCCAGACCTCTACAACCGCATTGTCCTCAAAGATTTAAGTTATACCATGAATTAAGAGAAGATCCTGAACTTCACCTTACGAAACACAAAACAAATGTGATAATAATTATGGACAAAGTAGATTATAGTGGAAAATGAACATGTAATTTGAAGACAGGAACATTATGCCTCTTAAGATTGTAACTACATGTTGCACGGTGCAGATGAGCTGTCCAAAAAAAAAATTGCAATATGCGAAATGACTGAAATATGTTGAGAGATGTAACTTTGCCCATTGGAGTTTGACAAAAAGAAAAAGTGTAATTTTTGTAATCCTGGTTTTTTTTTTCTGTACCGCTGACAGGATGAACACGGGGTGCTAATAAGCCAGCCTCTCAGGCGACACAAAGTTAAAACATTTTCTGCCTTTGTGTTAATTGGCTAAGCTGATATTTACACATTTACTGCGCTGAACACGTAAAGCAGATATTGATGTGAACACGGCTGCTATGTTACTCACGTCCTCACTCTTCTTTCTCTCCTGTTTTGTGTACTTGCTGGAAATTGCTCAGGATTCCCTATTATCTTTGATCTTTAACATATAATTCTCCTTATATTTTCATCACCTTAACACACAATTATTCTTTTCACTCATCTACCTAGCACGCAAACCTCATCTTCTCTTTTCTCCTCAACACACAAACGTTTTTTATTCTTTTCCTTAGCACGCAGTCTATTTTTCTCTTTGATAAACAATCCTCCTTTTTCTCGCTTCTAAGCACATAATTCTCATTTCCTTTTTCGTCTTAGCACCCAATCTTCTTTTTTTTCTTTTCTTCCTGATACCCAATTTTCCTCCTTTCATGTGTTCCCTCATTGGTCACAGGTGTTCCATCAGTGGGTTACTGGGCTTTCACTTTAGCCGGGGGCGAGGCTCAGTACACGACAGCCTTCAGTCCTCCCTCAGCAGTGCCCATTCTCTTCACCCACTACACAGACGTGATGACCTTTAACCAGCGTCTCGTCAACCACTTGTACGCCCTGGGCAGCCACGTTGTCATGCAGGTTAGTGATAAATTATGCAACTCAGCGGCCGCCATTCCAGTAGGGCGTTGACCATTCGTGCAGGTCAGTGGTCGTTCATGCAGCTCATTGAGCACTCATGCCGATCAGTGATCATTCCTGAAGGTCAATAACCATTCGTGCTGGAGAGTGATCATTCTTGCAGATTAATGCCTGTTCGTGCTGGTAAGTGACCATTTATGCATATCAGTGACCATTCATTCTGTTTAGTGATCACTTGTGTTGGTCAGTAATTGTTCGTTCGGGTCAGCAAATCATCCTAAGGAACATGAAGAATTATTTCTTTTTCATTAATGTTAACTTGTACAATAATGAGTCGCAATAGCTATTTTTCAATTGTCACACTGCCTCCAGTTTCTGCCATCACTCCCTCAGGTGCAGCAGGCAGTGACTTGGTGGCAGATCAAGAAGTACTTACCGTCTTCCCCGCCACCTGGGACGCTGCTGGCTGAGCTGTCCGGAATGTTGATAAACTCACACCCAGCTCTAGATTACCCAAGACTCCTGCCTCCCTCCTTCATCAATGTGGGCGGTTTACAGATCCAGCCTACCAAGCCACTACCAAAAGTAAGATATTTTCCCATTTATACCGTGTTTTAATGTCTACTCTTAGTTTATTTTGACGTTTTGTTCACTATAAGGACTGCCATCAATATCACACAATATTACTACCGTGACACTCTTCTTCCAGGATCTGGAGGAGTGGGTGGGAGGTTCTGGCTCTGCTGGGACCATCCTCTTCACTATGGGTTTCCTTTTCAATTCTCGCGTCTTTCCTGCGCACGTCATCAGCAATTTAATGGGCGCCTTCGCTAGACTTCCCCAACGGGTGAGATAGACGTCATTTATTTTTAATGGGGGAGTGGAAACTTAGTGTTCCAGCAGATACTTAATCATAGGGGAAATATCACTGACACGCCAATGATTTCCTTATTCATTGAATGGGTCATCATTTGATAAAAACATACAGGCAGAGACATTCCATTTTTTCCTAAAGTACAAAAGTTCACCTCGTCCCTGTGTTCACTTCACCTGATACAACAAACAACATATTTTTACACACCCTTTATCAACGCTTGTTAAAACATTACTAAGGATGCTCTTTAATTAGGGATCGCAATACCTTGCAACACAGCATCATAACACAACATTACCATACTAAATTCTTGCATATTACATGCCTTTTTGCAACACATCTACACTTGCTCCAAAAAAAAAGCACTTAATGGAACTAATCAAAAAATGAGACCAGAAAATGATCTCACTATAGATGCTGCGTGAGACGACAGAGATACAATGTAGGTCAGTAACGACGATCTTCAGTATATTACTGCGGAAAGGAAACCCACCAGAAAACGGAAAATTTGAAAATGCATCAACTATCATAAAAAAAAAGAAAAAAGAAAGGCAGTGGACCTCGGATTAGCGCCTCTGAGAAACACATTCTGCAAGGTAATGGAGAAGTCAAGAATGATTAAGTTAGCAAACGACAACAGTCAAACAGGAAGGATAAGGATGTGAAGACTGCATAATCACACATTAGCTAAGAACGCTAAACATGGTCCCTCATGGGAGAGTAATGTGCAAATTAGAAAATCAAATTGGAATAAAAGGGACGAAACTCTGCTCCTGCTGCTGCTGCTGCTGCTGCTGCTGCTGCTGCTATGACTGCTATGACTGGTGCTGCTATGACTGCTATGACTGCTGCTGCTGCTGCTATGACTGCTGCTGCTGCTGCTATGACTGCTACTACTACTACTAGTACTACTGCTACGATTGTTACTACTACTACTACTACTACTATTATTACTGTTACTACTGTTACTATTATTGTCACTACTATCACTAATAATATTAATAATCATGATAGTGCAAAATCACCAACACTGACCTGTGAGTATTGCTCGACCATCAACACTGACCTGTGAGTATTGCACAACCATCAACACTGACATGTGAGTATTGCACAACCATCAACACTGACATGTGAGTATTGCTCAACCATCAACACTGACATGTAAGTATTGCACAACCATCAACACTGACATGTGAGTATTGCACAACCATCAACACTGACATGTGAGTATTGCACAACCATCAACACTGACCTGTGAGTATTGCACAACCATCAACACTGACCTGTGAGTATTGCACAACCATCAACACTGACATGTAAGTATTGCACAACCATCAACACTGACATGTGAGTATTGCACAACCATCAACACTGACATGTAAGTATTGCACAACCATCAACACTGACATGTGAGTATTGCACAACCATCAACACTGACATGTGAGTATTGCACAACCATCAACACTGACCTGTGAGTATTGCACAACCATCAACACTGACCTGTGAGTATTGCTCAACCATCAACACTGACCTGTGAGTATTGCTCAACCATCAACACTGACATGTGAGTATTGCACAACCATCAACACTGACCTGTGAGTATTGCACAACCATCAACACTGACCTGTGAGTATTGCTCAACCATCAACACTGACCTGTGAGTATTGCACAACCATCAACACTGACCTGTGAGTATTGCACAACCATCAACACTGACCTGTGAGTATTGCTCAACCATCAACACTGACCTGTGAGTATTGCTCAACCATCAACACTGACATGTGAGTATTGCACAACCATCAACACTGACCTGTGAGTATTGCACAACCATCAACACTGACCTGTGAGTATTGCTCAACCATCAACACTGACCTGTGAGTATTGCACAACCATCAACACTGACCTGTGAGTATTGCACAACCATCAACACTGACCTGTGAGTATTGCACAACCATCAACACTGACATGTGAGTATTGCACAACCATCAACAATGACATGTAAGTATTGCACAACCATCAACACTGACATGTGAGTATTGCACAACCATCAACACTGACATGTGAGTATTGCACAACCATCAACACTGATCTGTGAGTATTGCACAACCATCAACACTGACCTGTAAGTATTGCACAACCATCAACACTGACATGTGAGTATTGCACAACCATCAACACTGACATGTAAGTATTGCACAACCATCAACACTGACATGTGAGTATTGCACAACCATCAACACTGACATGTGAGTATTGCACAACCATCAACACTGACATGTAAGTATTGCTCAACCATCAACACTGACCTGTAAGTATTGCTCAACCATCAACACTGACCTGTAAGTATTGCACAACCATCAACACTGACCTGTAAGTATTGCACAACCATCAACACTGACATGTGAGTATTGCACAACCATCAACACTGACATGTGAGTATTGCACAACCATCAACACTGACATGTGAGTATTGCACAACCATCAACACTGACATGTAAGTATTGCACAACCATCAACACTGACATGTGAGTATTGCACAACCATCAACACTGACATGTGAGTATTGCACAACCATCAACACTGACATGTAAGTATTGCTCAACCATCAACACTGACCTGTAAGTATTGCTCAACCATCAACACTGACCTGTAAGTATTGCTCAACCATCAACACTGACCTGTAAGTATTGCACAACCATCAACACTGACCTGTAAGTATTGCACAACCATCAACACTGAAATGTAAGTATTGCACAACCATCAACACTGATATGTAAGTATTGCACAACCATCAACACTGACATGTGAGTATTGCACAACCATCAACACTGACATGTGAGTATTGCACAACCATCAACACTGACATGTAAGTATTGCTCAACCATCAACACTGACCTGTAAGTATTGCTCAACCATCAACACTGACATGTAAGTATTGCACAACCATCAACACTGACCTGTAAGTATTGCACAACCATCAACACTGACCTGTAAGTATTGCTCAACCATCAACACTGACCTGTAAGTATTGCACAACCATCAACACTGATATGTAAGTATTGCACAACCATCAACACTGATATGTAAGTATTGCACAACCATCAACACTGACATGTGAGTATTGCACAACCATCAACACTGACATGTGAGTATTGCACAACCATCAACACTGACCTGTAAGTATTGCTCAACCATCAACACTGACATGTAAGTATTGCACAACCATCAACACTGACCTGTAAGTATTGCACAACCATCAACACTGACCTGTAAGTATTGCACAACCATCAACACTGACCTGTAAGTATTGCACAACCATCAACACTGACCTGTAAGTATTGCACAACCATCAACACTGACCTGTAAGTATTGCACAACCATCAACACTGACATGTGAGTATTGCACAACCATCAACACTGACATGTAAGTATTGCTCAACCATCAACACTGACCTGTAAGTATTGCTCAACCATCAACACTGAAATGTAAGTATTGCACAACCATCAACACTGACCTGTAAGTATTGCACAACCATCAACACTGACCTGTAAGTATTGCTCAACCATCAACACTGACACAGTGCACAACCTCCTTCAGGTCTACACACAACGTGGTAGCATAAGATAGATGAATGGACAGTTGTTTCTGGATGTGCATCTTTGTGACGTTGTGTTCTCTGTCTCAGGTGTTGATGAAGCTGGAGGAGGAGTTCCCAGCGCCACCTGCCAACGTTAAGGTGGTCACCTGGCTTCCACAACAAGATGTCCTGGGTACGCAGTCGTTGCTCTCTCTCTCTCTCTCTCTCTCTCTCTCTCTCTCTCTCTCTCTCTCTCTCTCTCTCTTTATTTCTCAAGTGTTTACAAATCTATATAAGTTAATGCAAGAATCGCGAACAAGCGATACAAGACGCAAAACAACCACAGGGGGAGTTGAATGGTAGCTCTAGGCCTTTCTTGTTGCAATCATCACATCAGGAGCTTGCAAGCGTCCCTCTGGACAAATCTAGTGAGATCTCTTACTCATTTCTGCAACAATGAGAGCTGCTAATGACGTACTGATTGCAACGCGAAAGTCCTACAGTATACCAATAAGGATAATACAATTACGATCCCAGATTATCGTTTTCCAAATTAAAGCTAATTTTATAATAACACCGTCTGGCATTAACTGGATTATCGGTCTCGTGATTATTTTAACGGCAGTCTTATATATAGTTAGTGTGCGGCAATTTTTCTTAATAATATATAATGTGCTCGAAGTATAAATATTCCCCAGAGAGAAATTAGATCAAATATAAACGATTAATGACGGCTAAACAGGGAACTAAACCATATCTGAGAGAGAAAAGACGAATTTACTTAAGAATCAACAGAAATATTCCCGTTGTTGCCCAACAAGGTTCATCTTACAAGACAGGTAAACAAATGGATAAGAAAAGCTGAATAAAACTCTGAAATTAAAGTGGCTAGTGTATCCAAGAAAAATCCCAAGTGGATTCTTTGAAGTATACAAGAGAAACTACAGCAGAAATTAATTCCAGTCATAGCACTGATGATAAGAGCGAAATGCGCTTGCCGTTTTAAGTTATTTTCTGTTGGTTTTCACATAAACGTAAATGACATCACAGTACAGTAATTAATAATTATAGAGGGCGCGAGGACAATAAATTCAGCAATATCTCAGTCTACTGTCGTTTTCCTTTTCAGGTCACTTTGCCTCTGTGGGATACGGCCGTTTTTTTTTTTTTTTTGTTTAAACAAAAATCTGTGTCCAGGGACGTAGTTATACAACAAGTAATAGTCGTATTAAAACAAAATAACTAACTCTGCGGACTCTAACTATTTTCAAGTGTATTTAAAGAGAGAGAAGTGGAACTTAGTGAAGCACTAACCTGTGGAGAGATGGAGAATGGGTAATGTAATTCCTATTGTCAAGTTGGACTCGCAGGAGAACGTTCTTGACTCAGAAATTTAATGACTTAGGAAAAGAATTTGAGTTGTAATGGACCAGGATAAGGATAACGATGTTATCTATTGCTACAGTACTAGTGCCATACGTGTAAGATAATTATCTACCAGAGAATACTAGAAGGTCATCCTACTGATACCCTTCTAGCATCTAGCCTGCTACTGGATTGAAATAGATCTGTTAATAATAACTTGTTAAGTCGACGGAACATAGTTATTCTCACAAACAGCATATAACTTGCAGAAGTAATATTACCTACTCAAAGATTGAGATCTTTAATAAACCAAAAATTATGTTTAGAGTTAACATATACATTCAAAATAAATGATAATGGAATTTTAAGTCTCTTATACACTTAAGTTGTAAGTAGTAGGTTGGTAGACAGCAGCCACCCAGGGAGGTACTACCGTCCTGTGGTAGTAGGTTGGTAGACAGCAGCCACCCAGGGAGGTACTACCGTCCTGTGGTAGTAGGTTAGTAGACAGCAGCCACCCAGGGAGGTACTACCGTCCTGTGGTAGTAGGTTAGTAGACAGCAGCCACCCAGGGAGGTACTACCGTCCTGTGGTACTAGGTTGGTAGACAACAGCCACCCAGGGAGGTACTGCCGTCCTGTTGTAGTAGTAGGTTGGTAGACAGCAGCCACCCAGGGAGGTACTACCGTCCTGTGGTAGTAGGTTGGAAGACAGCAACCACCCAGGGAGGTACTACCGTTCTGTGGTAGTAGGTTGGAAGACAGCAACCACCCTGGGAGGTACTACCGTCCTGTGGTAGTAGGTTGGAAGACAGCAACCACCCAGGGAGGCTCTACCGTCCTGTGGTAGTAGGTTGGTAGACAGCAGCCACCCAGGGAGGTACTACCGTCCTGTGGTAGTAGGTTGGTAGACAGCAGCCACCCAGGGAGGTACTACCGTCCTGTTGTAGTAGTAGGTTGGTAGACAGCAGCCACCTAGGGAGGTACTACCGTCCTGTGGGAGTAGTAGATTGGTAGACAGCGGCCACCCAGGGTGGTACTACCGTCCTGTGGTAGTAGTAGGTTGATAGACAGCAGCCACATAGGGAGGTACTACTGTCCTGTTGTAGCAGGAGGTTTATAGACAGCAGCCACCCAGGGAGGTACTACCGTTCTGTGGTAGTAGGTTGGCAGACAGCAGCCTCCCAGGGAGGTACTACCGTCCTGTGGTAGTAGGTTGGTAGACAGCAGCCATCTAGCGAGGTACTACCGTCCTGTGGTAGTAGGTTGGTAGACAGCAACCACCCAGGGAGGTACTACCGTCCTGTGGTAGTAGTAGGTTGGTAGACAGCAACCACCCAGGGAGGTACTACCGTCCTGTCGTAGTAGGTTGGTAGACAGCAGCCTCCCAGGGAGGTATTACCGTCCTGTAGTAGTAGGTTGGTAGACAGCAACCACCCAGGGAGGTACTACCGTCCTGTGGTAGTAGGTTGGTAGACAGCAGCCACCCAGGGAGGTACTACCGTCCTGTGGTAGTAGTAGGTTGGTAGACAGCAGCCACCCAGGGAGGTACTACCGTCCTGTGGTAGTAGGTTGGTAGACAGCAGCCACCCAGGGAGGTACTACCGTCCTGTGGTAGTAGGTTGGTAGACAGTAGCCACCCAGGTAGGTACTACCGTCCTATGGTAGTAGGTTGGTAGACAGCAACCACCCAGGGAGGTACTACCGTCCTGTGGTAGTAGGTTGGTAGACAGCAACCACCCAGGGAGGTACTACCGTCCTGTGGTTGTAGGTTGGTAGACAGCAACCACCCAGGGAGGTACTACCGTCCTGTGGTAGTAGGTTGGTAGACAGCAGCCACCCAGGGAGGTACTACCGTCCTGTGGTAGTAGGTTGGTAGACAGCAGCCACCCAGGGAGGTACTACCGTCCTGTGGTAGTAGGTTGGTAGACAGCAACCACCCAGGGAGGTACTACCGTCCTGTGGTAGTAGGTTGGTAGACAGCAGCCACCCAGGGAGGTACTACCGTCCTGTGGTAGTAGGTTGGTAGACAACAACCACCCAGGGAGGTACTACCGTCCTGTGGTAGTAGGTTGGTAGACAGCAACCACCCAGGGAGGTACTACCGTCCTGTGGTAGTAGGTTGGTAGACAGCAACCACCCAGGGAGGTACTACCGTCCTGTGGTAGTAGGTTGGTAGACAACAACCACCCAGGGAGGTACTACCGTCCTGCCGAGTGAGTGTAAAGCGAGAGCCTGTAATTGCTTTACATGATGGTAGGATTGCTGGTGTCTTTTGTTTGTCTCATAAACACACAAAATTTCAGGTAGGTCAAACTACACATACATGTACAAACATATAGATACACACCACTCTGGATTTTCTTCTATTTTTTTATTAACTCTTGTTCTTGTTCTTATCTCGATGAGGAAGTTTAAAAGAATTCTTCCTCCGTAAGCCATGCGTGTCGTAAGAGGCGAATAAAAAGCCGGGAGGAAGGGGCTAGTAACCCTTTTCCTATATATACTACTAAATTTAAAAGAGAAACTTTGGTTTTTCCTTTCGGGCCGCCGTGCCTTGGTGGGAGACGGCCGTCACGTTGAATATATATATTTATATATATATATATATATATATATATATATATATATATATATATATATATATATATATATATATATATATATATAAGCACATGGGCCGTCTCCCACCAAGGCAGGGTGGCCCGAGAAAGAAAAACTTTTACCATCATTCACTCCATCATTTTATTGCCAGAGGCGCTCTCACACTACAGTTTCAAAACTGCAACGGTGATGTACCTTGTTTTCATAAGTAACTTAGAGATATTCTCGGTTGCCTCCTGTTCCTTGAAACAAGAGCCCTTCAACAGCATTAATACTTAAAGATTTTATGTAAGAATAAGTTGAGTGTACTGTTACACAGGTCACAACAAGACTGTGCTGTTCTACACACACTGTGGGATGCACGGGGTACTGGAAGCACTGTACCATGCAGTACCCATGGTGGGTATGCCGGTGTTTCTTGACCAGAGGGACGTGCTGGTCAGAATGGAGGAGAGAGGTGTAGCCCGGGGCGTCTCCAAGGAGCCTTCAGAGGAAGAAATTTACCAAGCAATTGTTCAGGTCCTCAACGACCCCAGGTAAGAACGTACGAACATGGGAATAGTGGAGCACTGAAATGGGCCTGCTGGCCCATGCTAGGCGGGTTTACCTCACACCTAACCACTATCACTCATCTTCCTGTCACTCTTATTTTTAAAGATTCCCAAAGTTTGCTAAATTTTAATTCACAGCTGAGAGTCTTGTGAACAAGACAATAGACAGGTTATACCATAAACTGTTGCCTTGTTCACATACTTATCCGTATATTCTAAGATTGACGTTCCCTGTCTTATACCTGGAATAAGGGTTTCGGGGATCAAGGCCCCCGCTGCCCGATCTGTGACCAGGCTTCGTTGGTTAAATATTTCCAACACTATTTACATCCCCTTTGCTTATTACGGTTTTCATTTGCACATTTCAACCACATTCCTCTAAGTCTACGTCATGACAGATATTGCAAATTCAGTGAATTTTTGTCAATTTTCTGTAACAATTAAATCAGAACTGAGCGATATTGTCTATCAGTGTGCTGTACCTCGGTTCAGATCATTGCTCTTTCTGTGCCGTCTGATGCTATTTTCTTAGTCTATGTGGGAATATATCTAAGGTTTTATTGAAATTCTCATACACAGGTTATTCTTCAACATGATATATTGCCTCATATACTTTCCTGTAAAAATGCTAAGCCATGTTTAGATTCATTAATCGTGTTAGATCTTTCAAAACGGCTTCGATCTATGTGAGTACCAATAGCAAGCTCGTCTGTCTGGCACTCGGCAGACGGAGGATCAAGCCTCCACCACGTCATGCACTGAATGACCCAAATGGATTTGGAGCTTAATATGAATAATAATGAATAAACAGAAGGGTGAACAAGGGGCTCGAACCGCTGTCCGCAAATTGACAGTCCGACGTTCTAACGTCTCGGCTAACAGTTTGTGAACCGCTGTTCTAGCTCCTCATCCGCACTTCTGTTTACGCACTGACAACTTAATTTGAGCCAGTGAAAAATGATATTAATAAGAATAATGAAAATGGCTTCGAATTACATGAGCATACATTGATTCCATCAAATTTCCCACATTTAAAGTTAGCTTGAATTATCAGTAATTTGAAGCTGAGGCCTTATCTCCTGCTTTGTCAATGAGTATTAAGTTTGCTATTGTGCATTTGTTCAGGTTCAATACCCGTTTGTAGTGATTTGTTTGCTCGGTTCATCACTACTTTCCTTTACAAATCTTAAGGACTATGTCACTTGTGATTCTGATCTTACCTATATCATTACTGAATTCTAGGATTTCATTTGTAGCCTCCAGTGAAAAAAAAAGGCGAGGAAATAAGTATTGAAAATGTTACACATTTTTATCACTAATATTAAGAGGTACATATAAGTGGGTATATGTTTTTCCTCTCTTCTTATTCCTTAAACAAACCATAAGGTTGGTCTTGTATTTACGTTTAATCTTCATAATATATTCTTGTATAGCTAAATTAAATTGCGCTTATAAAAAAAGTTAGGTAAGTCTTCTAAGGTTTTTTTGATACAAAATCATTAATTTTTGCATTAACATAAATGAAAAAAACGTATCTTTAAATGTATAAGAGAAAATTTTTGAAAGGACTTAATTTTAAATGAGTTCTTGCTAATTGACCAGCTTCATTTATTCGACACTAAATTATATATATATATATATATATATATATATATATATATATATATATATATATATATATATATATATAATATATATATATATTTCTGACAACTTATTCTCTAATTCATCATATTATCGCTTATTTAAGTAATATTATTGAAATCTATAGCCCAATACGTAATTGTAATATTGTCTGTTATCAGTTACCGGGAGAATGCTGGTCGGATGTCTCAGGTGATCCGTGATCACCCGGTAGAGCCCATGGACGAGGCTCTCTGGCTTGTGGAACACGTAGCCAACACACGTGGGGCTCCACACCTCAAGTTCTCCGCCAGACACCTCAACTTCTGCCAGTTCTTCGGACTCGATGTCTTCGCATTCATGCTCATGGTCCCATTTTGTCTTTTTTATGGTCTTCCACACATCGTCAAGTATATTCTAAGTAACTTTATGGTTCTAGGAAGTCACAGAAGTAAATTGAAAGTGTCTTAATTTACAATTTTTGCGAAATTTAAATAGTTTCAAAAATACGATTGAGCTTCAAGAAACTTAATTCATAGTAAGTGAGAAAAATAAAAAATTTATGACATTTACTCATTACTGGGCAGGACATATCCACTGATAATTTAAACACATGTTTTTAAGGACTCTTAAATTCTTAGTTGATGTCCGAGAGAGTTCTTGTTCTAATCCATCACAAACCCTCTGGGTGGAGTTTGAGCAGTGCAAGGGTTTGTTGATGTCGTTGTCCAGTAGCTGAGAGTGCCAGATGTCAATATTATTTCCCTACTTCATGCCTGAGAGTGACATTTTTACCTCAAAGTTCTCTTGTTTTACACATTTTCACTATTCTAGAATGGTGTTAAGTTACTGAATTTATTTCCAGTGCTTTGTTGAATTATTGAACACCATTTTGATACACAAAAGAGAAACTAGATTCACCGGAGCGTAGTGAAAACGGTAGCGTCCTCAGCTCACACACGCCGGGGGGAGGGGGGGCCCATGTTTGATCCAAGTAGAAACATTGGGTATGTTTTCTTGCACCTGTTGTCCATGTTCACCTAGCAACAAGTAGGTATCTGGGTGTCAGTCACCTTACACTTGATGTCCATATAGCAGTAAGTAGGTTCCTGAGTGTTGTGGGTGGTTATGATGCTGGATACTGCATTGTTGAAACCTAAATACTGTAGTAATGTTTAATGTATTGTGTGGTGAAAAACCTCCATGAAAATAGTGTCAGTGGACGTGGATTGAATGGCATACGAACGTGTTCTAGACACGGACAGTTTGAGTATCGAGGCGACCGTGAGAGGTGTGTAAAGCAGTGAGGAGGGAACAGTTGCTGGAAGGTGTCATGGAGTTTGCTTAAGTAGTGTATGGTGTTTTGTGTAAGGTTTAGGCCATAGTTTGTTTCTTGTGATTTTGTTTGTACCCTCATGGTATGGTAATGGCCCTGGTATTTATATGGGTCCTATTTACGATTTGGAGAAAACAGAGATAATAATGTTTTTCGCCTGCAGGCTAAAGACCGGCAGAAGGGTGGGTCATGGAGACCACTGTTTTCATATGGCCTAACTTTAAATAATTAGTAGCAGTGAACTAGTGAGTTTTTGGTAAGATGCTGTGTATATAGTGCTAATGATAATATAGTGTATATTTTTGTATATGCGAGTTTATTTGTCCTTCGTGGTCATCATCCTGTTTAGTCCATTTGGCCCTAGGCTGATGTATTTTTTTTAATATTTAGCATATGCCCCCAGACAAGACTTGAAGCCCCGGTGCCCAGCAAATCAACGTAACGATGGCATCCAAATGACAATATTATCCTAAGTTGTAAGAAATGTTCTGCATAACCAGAATCTTTCTATATATTTTGTCGATGACGTAAACTATGTATCGGTTGTTTCATGTGCTTGTAGAAATAAAGATTATTACTATTATTATTATTATTATTATTATTATTATTATTATTATTATTATTATTATTATTAAAATAATAGGAGAATCATTGTCATTGAGCCCAAAGTTAGACTTATTTTGTATGTAAGCTCTCTAGACTTAAATGCAAAGTATTCTACGCTTTACTTATAATTTTAAAATCATCTGGAATCAATGAATGATTGTGGGACTTGGAATGAACTCTATTAAAATTAGTGCGGACGTCTATCCAGAGTTATGAAGCTCTGTATGGTCTTAAAATTCCGGAATGTTATTTTCTGTATCTAATGATACAGCTGAAACAAGTGAACTGATACACTTTATTTGAGCACAAAGGGGAAGCTACTGGAGTCTTAATCATAAAGTGAATGACCGGAGTAATTTGTAGGTAACTCGCTTAGTCATGTGGAACTTTGCGTACTAGTTAGTGGGTTTGGCCTAGTATGGGCCATTGGGCAAGCTGGAGTGTTCCTCCTTCATTATGTTCTGATATCATAACTTAGATGTCAAATAAAAAAAAAAATATGTAGTGGACATTTTTAGCAAGTGTAACAAAGGAGTTTTGCGAGAACTTTTATCCAATAAGGATTTCAATATTTTCTGACATTAAATCATGGGATTTTTTTTTATTTATTTAAAAACAATTCAGTACATCATATAATAAATATTCACATAATCTCAACAACATGAGATTTATTGCAACCTATCCACTACCTACTCCGCCACTGATGACAGAACACCAGGGCGACGAGAACAAAACATTACCCCCCCCCCCACCTACCCTAAAAGATACTCTTGGTGTGTACCAGTCAATAAAAAATCTGGTACAAACAACGTTCTACTTAAGAACAAAAGGCTGTCACCTGCCGCCACAATGCTAGATCCATCCCCCACTATCTGTATGGACAGTCATACCACGTGACATCAATGATTATATGCACAAAAATATATTACAAGGTCCCTCACCTATGACCCCGCCCGATGGCTCGAGCCCCATCCCCAAAACCCCACTGGTTGCTTGCCTACAGTGCAAGACATACTTGCAGATCATAAACCAGAACAAATAAAATACTTTACATACTAAGCCAGTGACTTGGCTTACATGATGCCTACACACTAAGTGGCCACAACCGACCATGACATATCAGGATCACACATGATGGGATTGCAGATCCCAAAGCCTTCTTCCTGGAGGCAAAAAAAAAAAAAAAATCCCTAACCTTCCCTCCGGCAGCAGTTGCCACCGTCCAGCATTCCGGCATACGTTAACACAGGCAGGCGCTTGTAGCCACCATGCATATTATTCAGATACCTCCACTCATGCCATGAACAGAACCAGGACAACCACTCGTACCAGAACATGAATCAAACGTGACAGTGACACACTCCACTCTGGAGCGCTGACTGACAACAACAAAAGAGTGCCAACAGATTCACCCTCGCTCACTGGACAGCAAACCCAGCATCTATCCCTTGATCTAATCCCCACCCCTACATACTAAGCATTTCACTTACCGTGGGGGTACGGTAACCCTCAGAAAAACATTCCCCCCACCTAGTCCCATATAGATCCCTATTCCTACACATTGTATGGAATACGGTCGCCGCCAGCACAGGCTTCCTCACTTCCCATGCATCCGATCCCCTCATGCACCAGGATATGTATACATAATCCACCATCACATATGCTAGCACCCATGCCACACCCTCTTCCACCCCCCCATCTAAACTCAGCGCCTGCAATACTGACACATCCCTCCCTCCCACCCTCTGCACCACCCTGCCCACCCATTTTCTGATATTCTCCAACCCCTCACAAAAATACATGATGTGGTAAGCCATTTCCTCTCCCCCACACAACCCACAATGCCCCTCCCCACCCAACCTCCGATCCCTCAGTACCTCACCAGATGGCAAGATACTGTGCAAAACCCGGAACATTACCTCCCGTACCTTGGGCTGTAACCTCAACCTGTTAAATCTTCTCCAGATGTTTGCCCAATCATAAATCGGGTATAACCCCTTCCCTGGGTGCACCACCTGTCTCCCTATCACCCTGTACAATGCCCCCACCTTTACCTTCCCAGGTTCCCAGGCCAATGCCAACACCCGCAAGACCGCCTCTCACTCACACAGGTCCACCCCCCTATACAATCCTCGCAACATCTCATGAACTTTCCCCAACCGTCCATCCCGAAAAACCCCATCCCGCAATACCTCATGCTTGATGTAAACACACTTAACCCTCCACCATAAATCCAAAAGGCCCATCCCCCCCTTTTGCACTGGCAACATGACCACCTCCCACCCTCCTTTGGGTGCTTTGAATTACCAGCAGCGTTAATGGGAACACTTATGCTATGAACCAAATCATACTGTACAAGATCACGTTGATAACAATCACCTTCTGCAGGTTAGTGAGATGATTCGGTCTTAGTGTTCCCAATCTCTTTACCACAAGTCCTCCAATCAAGCAGAATTATCCTCCCTTGCCCTAACTAAATTTGCCCTGTATATAATACCACATATCTTCAAAACCTCCACACAGGTTGTCACAGCCCAACAACCCTAGTCCACCCTCCGTTCCCACATCCCCAACCCTAAAATTGACGATTTCTCTCCCCTCAAGGAAGGTTCCTTGATGTTGGTGAGGGGCTCTTGATTTAGGGAATTGGATCTGTGCTCCAGTTCCCCAAATTAAGCCTGAATGCCTTCCACATCCCCCCCCCAGGCGCTGTATAATCCTCCGGGTTTAGCGCTTCCCCCTTGATTGTAATAATAATGACGATTTCTCTACATTCACTACCATTCCCGAGGCACCTCCGTAAACCCTCACCACCACCTCCAGCACACCCAACCGCGTTCCCTCATCTGCCAAAAGCATCACATCATCCACATACCCCACCAGACTTGGCCATGGCCACCCTTCCCCGCCCCTGTCCCCTCATATTCTTGTCTCCACCAACCTATTGAAAGGGTCTTGCATACATGCAAACAACAATTGCGAGAGTGGGCAGCCCTGTCGAAGGCCTCTCCCTAGTGCCACTGCTTTCCCCAAACACCTGATAACTTGCATATGTACACATGCTTGGTTATACAATGTTTTCACCCATCCCACTATTTCCTCCCCGAAGCCCTGAGACAGTAAAATGCGACCTAAAGCCTCCCTTTCCACAGTGTCATGTGCCCCCCTCCAGTCCAATGCTAACAACCCCCCCTCCCCCCACCAAAAGCAGTTACAAAATCCCAGAGGATACCGTGACCCATCACCATTGATCGGCCAGGCAAACCAAACTGGCTCGGGGAGACCAGCCTGTCAACCACACACTTTAGATGATTACCAAGCACCTTTGCAAAGAGCTTATAGTAAGTTCACATAAACGACAATTCACGATAATCCTTTAGGGTATGCTGATGTGACCCCTTTGGGTTTATCCTCTTCCCTTCACGTACGTAAAAATTTCTTATCCTAGTCTTTGCAATGCTATCCCACTATCCCACCACATCATCAACTACCCTCCCCTCCTCCCCAAGCTCCTCCCATAGCGCAGCAAAACCCGCCACTGTCTCCTCATCCCCGAGAACCTTCATATTTAATTTCCAGTAACTTGCCTGCCTTCTAGCTAACACTTCCCACCCCACGTCTGCTACAACTGCCCTATGATCAAAATAAGGTGCCTCTACTGTACAGATAGACTCTATACCAACATGCTGCATAACATATAGTCTGTCTAACCTTGCCCAATAACCCTCCCTCACATATGTATGATCCACCTCCCATGACCCCCCAGCAAACACATCTCGCAGTTGCACATCACAGAGAAGCTCCCCCAAAACAAGTGACAAAAAAACCCACCCCCCCTCGGTGCCACATCCGCTCTTCTAATAACGCAATTCCAATCCCCTCCCACTATTGCAAGAGAAGGTAACGATCATAAGAAATACACCAGCTCTTCCCTCACAAAAGCATTCTTAATGCACACTACGTTCTCTGCCGGTGCGTACAGGCACACAAAAACCACTTTCCCACCCCCCCACCAACCATCCACTCTTAAGATCCTGCCATCTACTCCCCCCCCTCACTCCTTAACAATACAAACGGGCTTGCCACACTGATCAAGATGGCTAACCCTCCTTTTAAGTGCTCCGGATGCGTCACAAAACTTTGATAGCCTTCCACCTCAAAATCCTTGCCAGCTTTCCAGTTATACTTCTGAATATATGCTACATCCACACAATATCTATGTAAGAACATGCTAAACCAATCATGCTTCATTCTCTCACACAAGCCATTAATGTTCAGCGTCATACACCAGAGGCCAGTTAATGCTTGTGTCCCCTATGGCCCACATCCCCCTTTACATGTGCACCAGGGCCCTTCTCGCTGCCCTTACCACGCTCACCACGCAGGACACCCTGGCCATCCTGCACCACCTGTCGCTGGTGCCTCCTCCCTCCTACACTGCTAGCCTCCACCGCCCACACCTTCCCCAGGCGTTGGGCCAGTGTTAAGACATCGTCAGAGTTGGATGTCGCTGCTGCCCATTTCCTGGTGACAACACTCTCCTCCATCGATGAACTGGGTTCCTCCTTGCGATGGTTCCTCCTCGCGATGCACCTCCACCACTAACAGCTGCGTGTCTTCCTTACCCAGCATCAGCCCATCCACACCGTGCTCAGCAACGCTCACAGCCGCCGCATGCCTAGCATCCACCTCTGACACAGGCTCCTGGTCACCCAATGGTCCTGCCACTGAGATCACAGGTGACTCAAACAATGACTGCATCATCGTCTTAACTGTCACAGTGAAAACCTCTGCACCCCCAGACACCTGCTGCTCCACCAGCCGTGCTGGCTGCTCCGGTATCAGTACATCCAGGATGGGCTTCACCACCGATGCCTCAACCATTTCGCTCCAAAGTTGACCACGCCCTCCTTCCTCTGCCTGGGCAGACTCAGGAACGTCCTGT